CCCAGAAACGGTTTCAGACCCTGTACTGCTCTTCTCCGATTCCCACTACAGGCACGGATGCTGTTCATACAGGGCCCTGCCTCTCTCCCTACCCTCTCTTTCAACCCAGAGGGGAGTGGGCGGTTCTGCCGTGGGGGCTGCCGCTTCTGTCTGCACAGCCTCCTGAGGTGTGTAACATGAAAGCCAACAGGGAGCCAAGTCCTGGGGCCCCGCCTGCCCTCCCGTGTGACCTTGGGCCTCTCCTTCCCTCGGACTCAACACCAGTGTAAATGATGACCCTACAGCCAGTTTTCTGGCTAGATTGAGGCTCCAACACTTGTTAAATGTCTGAATCTCATTTCCCTCATCCATACCCTGGGCCCAGGACAGTCCTCTCTTCTCAGGGTTCTAGTAAAGATCATGTGGGACAATATACTGAAGTGCTGATGTGATGCTCGATAGATATGTGCTTCTCTGTATTATCCTTCTGTGTGTACAGAATTGAGGATTCTCAGATGCCAAGCAATAGCCTCTTAGAAATCCTGGGCAGATTCCCCCTTACCCTGGGCCTCAGGCCTCCCCTTTGTAAAAGAGGAGGGCGGGAGGGTTTTCAGAAGAGGCCCCCTCTTCATTCCAGGGCTTCTATCTCCTGCCCCATGGCTGACGGGTCAGAAAGGGCTGCTCACTCAGCTCCCCCTCACCTCGACTGCTTGTTTGCCATGGGGAGATTCTGCCCAACACCCTTGCTGTCACCACGGCAAAGAACAGAGCACCTTGCACCCTGCAGGCCACCTGCAGCTCCCCCTGCTCGGGGCAAAGGCTACGGGAGTCGCTGATGGGCAAGATGTCAAAACTAATCCATGCAGAAGACTTGGGGAAACTGCCCGTGAGGCCAATTCCCCACAGGAGGCGGGGAAACCCTCAGCCCAAGGCGGAGAGTTTACGGGCGTAATTGATAAAATAATCACCAATGCCTGAGACAAAGGCGAACACATTTTTAACATCATAACCTTCAAAAGACAGGACTCAATTTTCTCCATCTTCCAGCCACCAAACCAGCTGGCTTATTGATGGTGAGATACTAACAGTTCGGTAAGGAACACAAGGAAGCCAGAGTCATTTTTCAGCACACAGGCTGCTTGCCAAATGGCCCAGTGCCCCCTCCTCCCGGCGAGCCCCGCTGTTCCCTCCTGGCAACACACAGAACCTCGGGACAGTGAATCACTCAATGGACGAAGCACCACGCCAAACCAGGGTCTTTGTCTGCATTGGGTGTATTAATAATTGAAGGTGCTGGCCTAGGTGTGTGTGTGTGTGTGTGTGTGTGTGTGTGTGTGTGTGTATGATGTGTGCTGCAGTACGAGGCTTCCCAGGGTTCCTCTGAGGGTCCATATACCCGCCTGGTCTGAACCACTCCTTGCAAACCCAAACCAAGCCTGTCCCTAGCACCAGGAGATTCCCAGCCCTACATCTCCAATGGTGGTGTATAGGTGAATCCTTAAGCAGTGGCTCCCTAACTCTAGGCTGCATGAGAATCAACTGCAAAGCTTATTAACATTCAGATTCCTGGGTCGTACACGTAACTGTTTTTGGTCAGTGGGTTTAGGGGATCTGCATTGTAAGAAACTCTCTGGGGACTCTGAGGCTATGAGTCTGCAAAGATCCTCACAAAGAGCCTGTCTTCCAGACCCCTGCCCTGGACTGGATCTACGAGTGCTTTGCACACTGACTCAGTAAGGTCTTGTCACCGTTGTGAGTCACCAGTTCCTTCTGGTGAAACCCACAGCTTTAGCAGTTCCCTGGGAAGTTGTAAGGGAGTGCACTTGGGTTAGGGCTATGCAGAGGACGAAGTTTGTCACCGGAAGAGGCCAAGCCCACCTTAAGGCTGTCCTAGACCAAGTAGGTCCAGAACTGCCAGGCACACGTGCCTTCTGAACATGGCTGTCCAGCTCCTGGCACAGATTCAGTGACCTTGGGTAAGTCACTGGTCCTTCTCGAGCCCCAGTTTCCTCATGTGTCTAAAACCAACCTGGCCTGCTGATGCTGGCCTAAGAGAGTTCACACCGACATGCGGGGTGGCAGCACCCAGCACATAGTAAGCACCTTATAAATGTCATTTCCCTTTCCTCCCACCCCCGTTGGGCTCCTTTTGGATAAGGACAATCAAAACAGTTGTCATTTATTGCACAACTAGTAGGTGCAGTCGCTGAGCATTACCACCCCACCTCCCGGTTCCTGTCGCCTTCTGGACAGCCATGCGGGGCATACGTTCTGTACACCTTCACAAAGCCCTCTTCAAAGCGAGTGCAGTGGAGGTAGGAGGGAGAGGGAAAGTGAAACAGATGTCCTCGCTGACCCCCCTGACCGCAGGCTCTGCCTGTGACAAGCCCCGGGGCAGGCAGGCCGAAGGTGCCAGCCGGTGGCGGGGCTGGGCTCAGATGAAGCAGGAGCAGTGAACATTCAACACACACCCGGGGTCAGCGGGCTCCTTCTCAGCCCACTACCCCCTACCCTGAGACACAGAGACACCTTCCCGACCTGGCCACATTTCCTGAATCAGCTGAGGACACACAGAGCCCAGGAATAATGAAATGATCAGGCTCCAATCTGCTAAACAGCAATTTCTGAGCGTTTTCAGCACACACAGCTTTTATCAAATTGGTATTCTCCTCCTGAACACAAATGGCTTATTAGACATGACCCACTTATTCGCTGCGTCTCACTATCATTAATAACAGTTTCTTTTGGTGATTAAGTGAGTGGCTCCAAACCCTTCCTGTGGTGGCGGGTGCTTGGCCTGGCAGAGGGGCAGCTGCAGGGGGTCCTCAGCAGCCACTACTTGGTGACTTTAAACCTGGCGAGGTCGGGGAAGGCAGCCTGGCCCCTGTGGAGCAGCCCAGCCTCCTTGTTTCTTGAGGGACAGAGGGGGAGGCCCTGAGGGTGACTCACTTGTCCAGAGAGGCAAAGGGGATTAAGAGAGAGCCAGCTTCCCCAGCAGCTGGTGCTGTCCTCTTCCCACCCCGCCCCTCCCCCGGCCTTAGCTGGACCTCCAGGGTACCGACGGCGATCACGGCTCTCTGCGTGGCGGGGAGGACTGTGCCCCCTCAGCAGATCTGGCACCAGGGGGCAGGCAGAGACTGTTACACAAAAGGCAGAACCTGCTTCCCAAGGAATGACAAACTGGCACCCAAATTCCGGAGCTCCACTGCCCAGGGACAGGATGACCAGCAGCCTCTGAGCTCCGTGCGCGTACACGCCTGGACCGAAAACTCAGGGAAGTCCTTCCTTGGAAAACCCTCCCAGTGTAAGTTCCAACTGTGCCAAGGAACTGAGCGAGCGAGGAGGGGAGGGGAGGGGAAGGAATTCCCAGGCTCCCTTGAAAGGGAGGGAATCTGACAGAGAGATGAATGTCCTGGGCAGAGCGCTGTCTTTTCCTCACAGCCTCCGGGGCCTGTCCTGGCTCAGTCAGTCTCTCACTGTGTGACCTTGGGCAACTCCCTTCACCTCTCTGAGCCTTGGTTTCCCTATCTGTAAGTTAAAGATCAAAACAACACCTTCCCATTTGCCAGCGCTCCTGCCAAGTCAGTAGAAAGAGGTAAAAGATTCAAAGGGTGCACAAACAAGACGGAGTGGCTGCCGCCAAAGATGGTGAGGCAAAAGGGTGCAGGGAGTCGTGGGTCCCTAAAAGCAGACACTCTGAGAAGGAGTTAGAAACCACCTCCCAGGGCCATTCCGCTCGGGCTTCGCAGGCTTCATGATCTAGCAAGCGCCGCCCCCCGCAACCTACATTACCTACCCGCCTCACTCATGCGCTGAAATAAATCCCCGTTTTGGCCCTTTGTTCAAACCTCCCCCCAGCCCTGGGCACCGAGTGCCCAGCCCTGGTCCACAGCTTCCCTGAGACCAAGTGGGGAAGGGAAGGCAGGAAGCAGGGTCTCTTCTGGTGTCATCTATGCTCTGGCCCCCACCCCAGAGGCTGGCGCATAGGGGCAGGGGGAGCCCCCACAGCTGCCTACCTCAGACACACAACTCCGATGCCAACTTGGGCTCCTGTGGGGCAGAAGGAGCTTCTGACACTTGGGAAAGCAGTGCCAGGAACACTTGCTTGCTCCCAGGTCCCAGGTGGCCGGAGTTGAGGTTTCCCACGTTTTAGTCCTCTGGCGCCCAAGATGAGACGGGGTACCCTATGGAAGGGCAACAGCACCTGCCTACTCACCCCAGAAACAGAAAAAAGCACCGGGTGGCCCTCTCTCACTCCCACGCCCCTGGCTGGGAACGGTAACCCCAACTACTCCAGGGTCTTTGAGGGGCTCCCACGATGCCTACATCCATGGTTTGCCACCCACATGACCGGGGAGGCGGCAGCCCAAGCTAGCAGGTCCCAAGAGGACCATTCCCAGTGGCATAAAGGGCAAGATGGAAAGGAAGGGCACAAGGGCGGCCCTGGGGGCAAACCCACAAAGGGGAAAAACAGATGGGCAGAGAGGCGTGGGTGGACAAAGTGTACGCACAAGTGTGTGTGTCTGTGTGTGTGTATGTGTGTGTCTGCAGGCAGACAGGCAAGAGTTGTGGCAAAGCGCGTGAGCCTGGGTGCCAGCTGGCAGGGTGTGAGCCCACCAGCACAGGCAGTGCCTGATGTGTGTGTGTAGTGGGCATAAGTGTGAGTATTTGAGTGAGGGGATCTGACAAGGTGTGTGAAGACGTGTGAGGGCAGGAGTTGTGAGTGAGAAAGCAGTCAACGTGGCTGTGAATATCTGTGTGGACATGGAGGTGTGTATTTCTGCCTGAGTGTGTGTGCGCAGCAAGGGGGCTTCTTAAAAGCAGGCGTGGGGGTGCGCTCCCGGTGCCCCCTCCGCAGAACTAGCCAGGATGCCAGGGCAGGTCCATAGATCCGACAGGGGGCGCCCCGGGACTCCCGCCACGGCTAGCGGGGGTTCGAGCCCCAGGGCTGGCAAGTTGGAGCCACGCAACCTGGGGTGGGGTTTGGTGGGGAAGTCCGTGGGGGCGGCGACCGAACTCACCGTGGCCGGAGACATGGTTGTCCCAGGGCGCGTGGCCGGCGGGCCGTGTAGCGTCGCCGAGTTGCAGGAAAAGTGCCAGGTAGTGGAGGGCGCCCAGCGCCACGGCGAGCGGGGCCCCCATGGTGCGCGCTCCGGCCGGGGGCGCCGCCGCCTCACATCGGGGCTCCGGAGCCCGCAGACCTCGCGCCCGCGGTCCCCTGCTCGGTGCGGCCTGGCTACCCGGCTCCAGCCGCTGCCCCTTGCCCGTTAGGTCCGGCCCGGCCCGGGTCCCGGCCCTCGCCCGCCTCCGGCCCAGCCCTGGCTGCGGGCAGCGAGCGCACGCCCAGCCGGCCGCCTCCGACTGCGGGACTCTTCCCTTGCGCGGAAGGCCACTCCGCTCGGCGTCGCCGCGCCGCACCCCTCCCTCCCTCTGCCTCCCGCCCGCCCAGAGGAGGCCGCGGCGGAGGGATCTGCCGCTTGATTTATCATCAAAGTTTTGCCCAGGCTGGGATTTTTAAAGCGGTACTCGCAACTTTCCTCAGCCTGAGAGCCGGGGCTGGGGGCGGGAAGGGGTGGAGGAGACCACCCCGGGCCCCTGGTTCCCAGAAAGCAGAACACAACGGGTTCAGAAACAGAAAATACTATCTAACAGGAATGAGGAGAAAAATCATTCCACCTGCAGGTAGATCCAGAGCGCTGAGAGGGAGTCTTCAACTTTGTTGGCACAGCAGTGCCGGGGTCAGGGGGCAGGAGGGGGTGGAGCTGAGGGCGACGCCAGGAAGAAACTCGAGCTGAGACGCCAGACCCGATTATAGCTCCGCGAAAGCCTTTGGCTCCCTGTATGATCGTGTCCATGTATGAATCTCAAGGTCTTCATCTGAGAAATGGGAAACAATGACCGCTATCTCCAGGGCAGTGGTGAGGATTTGCGAAGTTGTAAAGCTCCGAACGTAATACCACCGACATGCCGCCTGTATAGTTATTGTCGTTCTCGTCTCTGGGACTCAGTTTTCCCATCTACATAATAGGAATAAAAGGGCAGAAGGTGAGGCTCCTTGTAGTTTAGAGAGGCTGGGCCCTACTCCGTGAATTGGATCGCCCCCTACTGGACTGGACTGTTCCCTTCCCGGGGCAGAAGCCCAAAAGGAATGTGCGTGAGCCACTCCCATTCTGCAGAGCAGGAATCCAAAGAGATCCTCCGATTCTTTCCCTGGCCCTTTTACTGGAGCTATTGGCCAGACCCTCAGAAAAGAGGGCGAACTTGCGGCTCATTTAAAAGATCGGAAGCATCTTAAATCAGAGAGAGTCGCTTCTCCGAGGTCCCACGGAGGGTGTGGAGCAAGGGCTCTGACTGCCAGGCAGGGTCCTCCCTGTTCTAATCTCCTGCCCATCTTCAGCCCTTGTGTGCCGCGGTGTCGGAACCACGGAGGACAGCGCCAACCCCTTTCTTATCCTGACTCCCATCTTTTCACCATCACGAAGGCCTCTGCAGGCTCTTTGGTGTAATGTTTCAGCACCGCGGACAGATCCTCCGGTCTTCCCCTTTCTCCGCTGAAAAAGGTCAGCGTCGCAGACAGCCCGTTCTCCACTCCAGACCACAGGTGCACCCAGCATTCAGCACTGTGCACAGTGTACTAAATTTAAGAACGAGGGCTGGGGATATAGCTGAATGGCACAAGCGTCTGCCTGGTAAGCGCAAGGCCCTGAGTTCGACTCCTGGTACCAAAAAAAAAAAAAAAAAAGTAGTAAATTTAAGAACGAAGTTAAAGCCTGTGGGACATTACTTTCTTGTCTTTATTGTCTTCTCCTCCCTACCCGTCCAATATTATGATGGCCAACACACTGGACGGGGCCTGTGGTCACCGCAACAATCCTGTTTCCTCAAAACTGAGAACAGCCCCTGCTCCAATGTCGCATGCTTAACCAGTGTTGGAGCGTCACGGACAGCGCACAGGCTCCCAAGACGGAGTCCTTCATTCAGCACCAGGGACAGGGCTACCGCATCTCCCCAGCTCGGGGACCGCACTCACAGGAGAGGGGGGCCTTTTTTGCCCTATTAACGCACCTTTTACTGTCTTTCCACACAAACGTGGTATTTAGATTATCCTGGGGTGGTCAGGCGCGTTGGACTCTACAAGAACATATATTCAATCATTAATTCACTCAACCGCCCTCCCAATGAAGTGGATGGTGTCATTCCCATTATAAAGGTAACAAAAATGAGACTCTTTGATCTCACCTGGAAGTGCTAAGATGGAAACCAGGACTCTTTCAAATCCACATTAGGTCTCTCCAGGAGACTGTGACAGATTTAGGGCTCAAACCCAAGGCTTTCTACTCATAAACCAGATTGGAGGGTTGGGACAAAGAACAGAGCACAAAGAGAGGGAGATTAGGAGACGCATAAACAAGAGTCTCGGCGAGGGAGCGGCAGCGGGAGCAGGTCAGGGTGAATGGCAGCACACTGGTGCCTGGCCACCGATCCTCTTGCTGACCTTCAGGAATACTTTCTCCTCATTGACTGGAACAAGGTTAAGCCTCGTAACTTCAAAGGTTCCTTCAAAGACAGGCCTGAGGGATTATGTGATTTTGGAAAGGCTCATGATGTAATGGTTCTACTGGAAACCCTTTGATGGCCATGTGCATCTGAGAAACCTCGACTTCTCTAGTTTGTGTTCAAGGTCTCAGCCTCCCTTCCTGTCCATACCCTGTGCCCTGGTCACTGTTCCCACTTGGAGCAGTCCTCACCTTCGTTATGTCCTGGCCCTCCCCGCTGCTTCCCCATGCTTGTATGTCTACCCCCTCTGTCTAATTGAGGCCCCGAGGGCCAAGGGCCAGCCTGATTCCTCCCACTGGAAAAAATACCTGCCAGCATCTCCTGGCTCCCATGCCTCTGTTTCCTCATTGTGTCCCCAGCAATATGACAAGAATTTTAATTCTCTGACCCACTCCTCAGACCAATAGGCCATATAGAGTGCGATCATGTAGGTGTAAGTGTGAACTCTAGAGCCATATGTTCAGAGTTTCAAATACTGCCACTTGCTAGCTGTGTGACTTTGGAAAAGTTGTGAAGCCTTTCTGTGTCTCAGTTTCCTCATCTATAAAATAAGGATGATCATACATCTTTCCCAAGATGATTGTGAGAATTCAAGGAGCTGCTATATGGAAAGTACTTAGAACAGTGCTGGGTGCATAGGAAATAACAGATACATGTTGGCTATTATTATCGTTTTTGTTGTTATCTAAGACAAGGACACAGTTTCAGAAAGATTAAGTGTCTTGCCCAAAGGAGGGCAATAATGGGGGAGTGATTTTTTAAAAACCCATGCTCTCTTAGGAATAGTCCCTAAGGACCTGTAACTCAATTTATCCTCTTTACAGCCTAGAAAAATAAGAATCAGAAAAGGTGCATGGTTTCTTTAGGGTCACACAGCCCCTTGACACACACAGATCCATGTCTCCCATCTCAGGACTCTCCTACTGTAACACACGGTCCCACTTGTATTCCTGCAGTTCCTACCTAAACTTCACTTTACAGTTTACAAAACACCCTTACATCCGTGATTTCATATAATTCATACCACAATCCCCAAGGCCAATACTATTACCTTTCTTCTTTTACAGATGAAGAAACTGAAGCCCAGAGAGGTGAAGTAACCTGCACAAGGTTGCACAGTAAGGTGGGGCAGAGCTGGATGTGAAAGGACAGATCTCCAAGCCCTACTCCTTCCCTACATAATTCTGTCTTTAGTCTGCTTCACCAACCCAAATGCAAACTGCAGACAGTGTGAAAACCAGCGCATAGTGGAAGCAGAAGGTAACCAAAGACTATCCCAGAAATAATCTCTGGGAATTCACTAATCACTCATTTCACTCTGGGAATGCTCCAGGAAAGAGTAAGCCTCCCATCCCTAGAGGTAACTAAACAAGCACCTAGCAGTCATGTGGATGCCATGAAGCAAATATCACTGCTATTTCCCTTATACAAACGAGGCTCTGGAGGTGAACACCATGTGAAGTATTTTAGCTGGGAAAGATGGTAATTTTAAAGTAACTCACCCCCGAAGCAGGAGATCTTGCATGCCCCTTGCCTCTGAGCTGAGCTCCCTGGAAAGTCCACACCCTCCCCTTGACTCTGGGAGGCCACCCTCCCTCCCCTCCTTGAAAGGTGTCACTTGAGCACTGTGGCTCTGTCAGTAGTGACAGCCGTAAGATTTGTCCTTTTAATCCAGAATCAATAACAAATTTCATTTAAAAATAAATTAAACTAGGCATTGGAAATCATTCACCGTGTGGGCCGGGGCCCTATAGAGCACCGTCTAAATGGCTTCCTCTCGCTCATCTATCAATGCCAAGAGGGGGGAAATACCTAAGCTGTCTGATTCATGGAGAAACTACTTAAATGTAGCAGCCCCTAACAATGAGCAATGTAAGCCCAGAGTCGCACCTTTTAACACACCAATAACATGTGGAGCGAGGCTCCACGCGAGCTTATCGGAGACCCCACGGTCACTGGCTTCGAGCAAGCCCATTTATAAGGGGGAACAATGCCTTTAGTATGTAGCTGCCTAATTTTCAGAATGCATTACTGAGCTCTGAGGAGCAATGGAATTCTATTAAAGTCTTATCTGCCACAGGAGGATATGAAACCGGCAGGGAAATCCAGACTTGGCATAGACATGCCCAGAAAGCACCAGGACTGACCCCAGGAGGTGGGTGAACTAGCTCAGAGGGAAGGAGGGGGCAGGCGGGGCCCCGGATGTGTGAAAATATGTGCATTAATAGAGCTCCGGTTTCCAGCGATTACGTTTACATCAGCGAATAAAACTTGGCAATAAAACATCAGAGCTGCGTCTCAGACAGCATTTCCTTTTACAGCCCGGTGTATTTCACTCATTATAACAGGAGGCAAGGAGCTCGAGGTGTCCCCATTTCTCCCCCTTTAATTAAATTTTCTAAATTACTGCCCAAGATTTGGATAAAGCAGAAGACTTACAGCTCCACTAATCGCCATCGAGGCTCCCGGCCCATCACCGCGGTGGCCCTGCCTGTCCCGGCTTCCAACATTATTAAAGTGAAATATTGTGGGCCCTGCCTGCCTGGGCTCTGCTTTGTGAAAGGAGATAGAGCCTCAGGAAAGGAACTGCCCCGAGGCTGGGCTCCAGGACTGGTTTTGCCATCCCCTCCTTCTGACAGCTGGGGCAAGTCACTTTCCCTCTCTGAGGCCCACAGTTCCTCTCTCCCCAAACAGCCATTTGAAGTCTCTAGAGTTGATGTGGGTCAGGAGCACCCCTGAGGTCCATATTGGGGTGACTTAGGAGCTTTATAAACACCAGTAATGCCCACACTATGCCTTAGAAATTCTGACACTGGTCTGGCCTGAGGTCTGGGTATCAAGGTTTTAAAAT